GACCTTTGTTGCTAGCTATTGACCAAATAGCTTCATTTTGACCTTCATTTCCTTGCCATATGGGCACTTCACAATGTGACTTCCTTAGAGTCACATTCCTTCAGAGTGAGTAAAGGAGAGACCAAGAGTAGGCAAGCCAGATCAAAGCCATGATCTTTTTGCAACCTGATCTGAACATCAGCATCTTCTGGTACTTGCTATATGCTCTTAAGAACTAAGCTACTAACTCAGGTCCATATTCAAGGAGAAGAAATTAAACTAGGAGGTAAAACTTAATGAGGTAGCTATCACAGGGCTACAAACAAACAATTAACAAACATGATAAAGGGATGGAGAGATGGTTTTCAGTGGTTAGGAGTACTTGCTGTGCAATCATGCATGAAGAGGAACATTCTGATCCCAGGATCCACCTAACAAGCCACATGTAACTCTAGCTTTGAGGAAGGCAAAGCCTAGCTCAGAAATTTCAAGCCCCAGATTCAGGGAAAGACCTTGCCACAAAGGAATAGTTAATGGTATTAGAGGAGGACACCTGATGTCTTTTCCTGTCCTCTATACACACATGCACAGATCATATGTTCATCCAGATATAGACAAATACAACAAATAATTCAGTTAAAATTTTTATGCATGTATTTTATGTATATGAGAGCTCCATCTGCATAGATGCCTACATGCCAGAAGAGGGCATCAGATCCCACTATACATGATTGAGAGTCATCATGTGGTTGCTGAGAATTGAACTCCAGACCTTTGAATCAGCAGCAAGTGTTTTTAAACACACAGCCATCTCTCCAGCCCATCAAATAATTCTTAAAAACAAACAACATGGTGAAAATATACCAGCTTTGTCAGCTCACAGTCTAAACAAAAAAACTATTTCAGCAGTGACCTGGATACTTGATATCTTAATCTTTGTTATTAAACACCATTCTGGGGCTCTTTGGAGAAAGGGCTGATTGTAGTCTTGAGGCAAGAAATACACAAAATGAAGCCATAGCATATTGTAGTTCTAGAGGAAAGGACATAATCAAAAAGCAAAATGGCCACACAAGGAACCTAAAAGAACTTCAAGAGTGCTTTGTGCAAAGAAATAAAAATCACAGGATAAATCTAAAACAGCACACACACACACACACACACACACATATATGTCTACATGAATGATAGAATAGAAATAAATAAGGAAAAGAGACAAATTTTCCTTATAACAAAATTTTAAATAATGTACTCAGGTATGCCCTTTCAGGAGTTGAGGCTTTATCCTCAAGTCCTCTTAAACGTGGGCAGAATTTCATACTTCTTTTAAACACACATAGAACACACACACACATACGCACACACAAAACAAAGGAGTGAAATCATGCAGCAGAGAAACTGCCATAGTCAGATGGTCAGAACATCACTAGTAATATGCCATGCTGTTAACATGTTCCCTTGGTATTACGCTAGTCAGGTATCTCCATATGTAGCATTTTCCTCAAGTCCTATAATCATAATCTAAATACATACACACACACATACATATATAATCATACAGTTTCAAATCAAAGAGCATTTTACAAAATACCTGAAGATATGCCTGAAGACTGTAACAGTGTTGGGCTTGGTGGTGCAGGCCTTTAATCCCAGCATTAGGGAGGCAGAGGCAGAGGCAGAGGCACATGGATCTCTGTGAGTTCGAGGTCAGCCTGGTGTACAATGCAAGTCTACGGCAGTGAGGACTGTTAAACAGAGAAGCCCTGTCTCAGGAAACCAAACCAACCAACCAACAAACACCATCAACAACAACAATACTGCAAGTCATGTCAAAGTCATGAAAAATAGACTAAGAAACTACCAGAGGAGACAAAAGTGATTTGATGGCTAAGTGCGATGTGCAATCTTCAAATTAATAAAACCCAAAGAAAGTCTGGAGTTTTTGTCAGTAATTGTCTTAGGATTTCTATTGCTGCAATGAAACACCATGACCAAAGGGTTTATCCAGCCTACACTGCCACATTGCTGTTCAAAGGAAGTGAGAACAGGAACTCATGCAGGGCAGGACCTGAGGCAGGAATGGATGCAAAGGCCACGGAAGGGTGTAGTTTGCTTTCTTCCCGTGGTTTTCTCAGCCTGCTTTGTTACAGAATTCAGGACCATCAGCCCAGGGATGGCACCACACCCACCAAGGGCTGGGCCCTCCCCCATTAATCACTAATTGGAGAAAATGTCTTACAACTGGATCTTATGGATGCATTTCCTTAGTTGAGGCTCCTTCCTCTCTGATGATTCTGGTCATGTTGACATAAAACTAGCCAGTATATTAATAATGTGTGAGTGCGAGATTTCTAATTCGGTACATCTATCATAGTGATGTAAGATTAGGGGACACTGGGTGAGGGAATACAACTTTTTTCTTTGTGACTTCTCTATAAAACTAAAATTACAAAATATTTGTATTTCTTCCAAAAAGCAAAGTTTAGAAGTTCAAAAGAGGGGCTGGAGAGATGGCTCAGTGGTTAGGAGCAAAAGAGGAGATGGAGAGATGGCTCAGTGGTTAGGAGCACTGTCTGTTCTTCCAAAGGACCAGGGTTCAATTCCCAGCACCCATATTGCAGCTCATAACTGTCTGAATTGGTAATTCCAAGGGATTTGACACCTTCACACTAATGCACATAAAATAAAATTAAATAAGTTATTTAAAAAGTTCAAAAGACTGCATTACTTTCTCGTAGATTAGTTCCTGGATCGATATATTTCAGACCCTTTTTTTTTCCTTCAGCACGGTTTGGTACCAGGTGCCAAGCAGTGTTGATAGGCTCTTTGTGTCACAGCATTGATGAGATGGCACACAGCTTGGTCAAAATTCTTAGAAATTATTCCATTATTGGGAGGAACAACAATAGTTTGTGATTAAATTGCTCAGGTTTAAGTCATCTCTCTTTCACCTGTTGAGTTTGGGGTGGAAGCCGAGAAAACTTACTTCAGAGAAGCTTTAAAATGAAAACTTTGTTTTCTTAGAGCACAGGGAGTTGGCCATTTCGGGATATGAACCTCGTCCCTGAAAGGAGATTGAACAACATTTTTAAAGGATGGGAATGCAAAGCAAGGGGTAGTGGGGTGGGCTATTGCATTGACCAATCATATTGTGACTTAGGGGTTGAGCAAGGAAGTAAATGTAGGTGACTGGGCCTTTCTAGCTCACCTGGTTTCAGGGTCATTGAATCAGCTTTTTTCAGTCCAGTCCCTTCCTGGACTCAGACCTGGAACAAAGGGGCCGGTAAGCTTTAAGTCAAGACAGGCAACACATTTACAACTTGTGTACTTTAGTTTGGATAACAGGATAATGGTAACTTCCCTCTTTACATCCTTTACTGGTTAACAGACAAACATGAAATACCTGAAGAAACAGGATACGAGCTGGTTCTGGAACCTAGGATCATGAATTCAGTTTTGACCCCGCCAGCAAGATGGAACTTGTTCCTGAGATGGCTAGCCTCAGGAAACCATCTCCTAACACACTTAGACCCTCAAAACGACTAGGGCCACTTCAAGGCACTTGAAGGTAAAGCAAGGTGTGAAGGAAGGAAAGTAACAGAAAAACAGGTTTTAATCTCCAGCCTTAGGGGTGCTATCACATACCCCCCTTTTCAAACATAGACAATCACATATGCCATGTGGTGTCACAGAGCTGAGAGTCATGTGTGGATCACACAGCTGGTGGTCAGGGCTCCTGAAACAACCATTAGCTTAGCAGTACATTCTACAAGTATTTCTGAAACAAGGGGCCATTGCCAGGAATGTCTGTTGTCCCCACCAGTTCAACTCAGTAGCATTGGTCTTTTCCTCAAGCTTCAAACCAAGCACTCACTGTTCTCTGAACTATTCTCTCAGCTCCTCCCTCCCACCCCCCACCCCCGCTTGATCATGGTCTGTCAGGCCCTTTTGTACTTAGATTAAAACATTTGATCCAATATGTTAACATTGGTCTTTATCTCCCTGCTATATGGTAGGCTCACTCAGGGTGTGGTTCAAAGTTTAAAAAAAAAGTCTTTGTACTGTCATAGAGGGCTCCCAACAAGCCCTTGTTGGGTAACTGAACTGAAGGTCTTGCTGAAATACAAAGTCCTAGCCAGGAAGAATTTAGGCCATCCAGGGTAAAGAACACCAGCGCTCCGGTGCTGCCCAGTGATTTGGGAATCATCTACAATGAGAGGGTAAGATAGGTGACTAAGTAGCAACAGCTCTTTCCTCCCCCCCAAACCCGGGCAACCTTTCCCCTCTTGTTTTGGACATATGGTTTTCAGTGGCATAGGCTGGCCTTCAATGCAGCCTCCACCTCCAACTGCTGGGCTTAGAGGCACGAGACACCATGCCCAACTGGCAGGAGCCTCCTGAAATAGTGATAGGCTTTCCCTCTATATTCAAGTTTTATCGCACCCTCACACATTTCCATGCTGCTTATGGCTAACGTGACTAGGACTGATTGCATTTTCACGACAAGGAGAGCCCCTTCATTAAAAAGCACATGCACTGACTAGGCAGACTTTGAGGGGGCGGAACTGACGGCAGGGAAGTCTTCATTTCCCCTGGGCAGCGCCGCACTCCTACCCCTCAGACACGGAGGTCTGGGACGCGAGGCCTGAAACCGAACATAGCTGAAGGAGCGTGGGATGAGGCCGGACACCGGCTAGGTTAGAAAGACCCAGGGGCTTTCCGCGGGCACACACTTGAGACTAAACTTGGAACCTGGATCTTCCTGCACCCCGAAGGGGCGAAGTTCACAAACAAAAGTATCCCGGGACAAAGCGCCGAAGACAAAGCGCTGTCCACGCGAAAGCACACGTCCCCGGCAGGGGCCCGCGCGTGCGCACAGAGACCGGGCAAGGTAGCCGGCGCCGCGGGGGGAGGCAGACGCGCGTTCCGCCCACCGCCCCTGAGCCCGCCTCTCGGGGCGGAGCGAGCCTCTCATTGGTCAGTCCGTCCAGGGGCGGGGATTGGCCGGTTAGCTTAGGGTCCCGGGACAGCCAATCTAGGAGGCTGAGGAGCTGCGGAAGGTGAGGGCCGCGGCGTCGCGGAGGTGAGTGGGGGCCGGGACGGGGGAAAAAGCGGTTGGGAGGTGGGGAATGGCGGCCCCCGGGCTGCACGGCGGCGGGAGGTCGCAGCGGGGAGCGAGCGCGGCGCGGGAGGCCGGCGGGCGGGCGGGAGAGGGGCCGCGGGAGGCCGGGGCGGAGGGCAGCTCGCCGCCGCGCCCGGCCTGCTGAGCTCCGCGGGCCGCCGGCTCGCCGCCCATCCCCCGCCGGCGCTGCTGAGCCCTGGCTGGCTTGGGACAGGGGCGGGGCGCGCAGGTCCAGGGCGTTCAACCTGCTCCACCTGGCCGCCCGTTCCCGTCGCGGACGGCCGGCCGCCCTCAGCTTTCACCCCAGCCGTGCATAGTTGGCGTGTAGCCTGACTGCAGGACGTGGAAATGAGCGGTCGGACTAACCGAACCTTCCTTTACCCCCCGCGGGAACTCATCCTGGCCTTCACCTCGCTGTGTGGTTAAGGACCGTCTACAAGTTCTGATCCTCCTCCCCGACCCCCGAAGTGCAGGGCTTAAGACTGTTGCTTCACCACACCCAGGGGGGAAAACGTCGAGTATTTCACGACACTTGGAAATTGTATTAAATAAAATTTAGCGTTCACTTTTTGTGTTGTTGTGAGAGAGAGTTATGTCTCCTTTATTTCAGGCTAGGGTGGGATGCGCTATGTATATTAGGCTGAGCTGCCTCGGACTCTAGTCACTCCTGCATCACTCACCACGCCCAACTCCATAAATAACCTTTTACTGGAATCCAGTCACATTTATTTTCCTACTGTATGTAGCTGCTTTTAAATTAGTGATTTAGTCAAGGCATTTGTGACATACTTAAAAGAGTATCTTGTTACATGAAAGCTTGTCGGTCCTGTCCAATCCGCACCCTTCTTTGGACTTTAGACCAGCTCTCACTACGGAGCCTGGCTGGCTTGCAGGTTAATACATAGACCGGAATGGTTTTGAACTTGTGGGGATGCCTTGTCTGCTTGTCTGGTGTTGAAGATTATTAATATTTAATATTGATTCATACGATTATCACTACAATGGTTATTTCATACCTGCTCGTATAGAAATAAATGACACAAAAACCTGTTAGACTTTTAATAAGCCTTAAGCATTATACAGCTGGGCAGGTATTAACCCTCTAAGCTGTTTTGTCTCCTCCCCAGGCCAAATCCCAAATCCATGCATATGTTTCCATTTCGGCCATTTCTCTCCATCATGCCAATCCTCAGAGCAAGCTCCTCCTGGAATGTTTCTTGTTCTTGCTAAACCATGTCGACATGCTCCTTCGACTCTCTCACGGTCCTTTTCCGACCCCAAAGCCGGAGAACCTAGACTCCGCCTACCTCTCTTGCCCAGACCAGGTGTAGGCAACTTTATTTGCCAGTTAGGGAGAATTTGGGAGGCAAGGTTTACAATTGTGAAGTTTATAATAGTGAAGACAGTGAGGATCTGGTGGAGACAATTTGCAGAAAATGAAAGAAAAAAAAATGGAGTAACTGGCAATATAGATGTGATTTTTCTCTAGCAAAGAACTTAAGGGCAACAGATTTGAGAGGAAGTTTACAAGTTCAGTTTAGATTTTGTTTTAAATGCTGATGAGACAAACTAGAAAGTATTGATAGTAGTAAGGGTGATGAGAGAATCTTTGTCATGCGGGGCATTTTTATTTTGGAAGATTTAACAGGGTATAGGAGTCCTGAGCATTTGTTTGGACAGAGGGACAGGGGAGACTGAGGGTACAGTAAATGCACAAATGCAGATAAATATGTGGAGGGTGGACACTGACTTCTTTACTCAGCTGACTTCTCAGTGTGTTGCTTTATCTGCTGAGAAATGGAGGAGGAAGATGGATTTAAGAGATAGCTTTTTTTTTTCCTCCTGCTGTTAACAGAACTTCCTAGAAAGAACTTTTAAGAAAAGCTTATTTGGCTGTTTAGGAGATTAGGAAGTGCAGCACCTTGTCACCTGCTTCTGGAACAGGCAGGCTGGCCAGTGGAGAAAGGTGGAACAACAGGAGAGGGAAGTTGGGGAGATGGCATGCACACGAGCTGTTGGACTGGTTCTTCTAGTCGGAAACCAGCTAAATCAATTGACACACCCTCCTGCTTGCCCACCACCATTTTCTGACCACCTCTTGTTTTGTTTGAGGCTGGGTCTTGCTGTGTAGCCTCCACTAGTTTTAAACTCAATAGAGCCAGTTTTGGCCTTGAACTCAAGGTAGTCCTCTGTCCAGCCTAAGATTATTACTATTTGGGGATTGGGTTTCTATTACAAGATCATTGTGGGGAGCCAAACATGTTGGATCACACTTGTTTGGGTTTTTAGTGTGGGAGTACCTGTAGTACCCTGGGAGGCCAGAAGAGGGTGTCAGATCTCTGTGGAACTGCAGTTATGAGTAGTTACAACTGCCTTGTGGGTCCTGGAAACTGATCTCAGGTCCTCTGCAAGAGCAGCAAGTACTCTTGATATTTTATCGTTTAGGAAGTAGAGGGAGAAGGATCAAGCCATCTTTGCTTACATAATAATTATGAGGCCAACCTGAGCTACAAGACACGTCTCAGAAAGGCTCAAATCAAGCAAAACAAAACAAAATTGGAAGGCATAGTCAAACTGTGAGTCAGGGGATCCTTGGATGCCTTTGATAAAAGAATGTGAGGGTGAAAACTTCTAGGAGAAAATTGCTGAATGGGCCAGGTTTGCAGCTGTATGGTAGAGGCGCACCTGGTGTGTTTTGAAGTCCTTCCATACTGTGAAAAGGAGAAGAAAAGCTATGGCCAAATAGAAGGTGACAGTATTATTTGAGTGAAAACTAGCCTGGGCTTAAGTTTGTTGTCCTTCTGCCCCAGCCTTCTGACTACTGGAGTTTAGATTTCTTTTTTGTGACACTAAGGACTGAACCTGGGTTTCTGTGCATACAATGGTCCTCAGCCTTAGATTTGGTGTATGTGTATATGAATCCTATGTAGCCTAGGTTGACCCCAGGTTGACTATAAAGCTGAAGATACCTTGAATTAGTGACCTATCAAAGCTCCATCTCGAAGGTACAGGGGTTTCAGTAGTTTATCACTATACCTAGCTCCTAAGCCCTGTATGTTTTTATTGATGTTTTCAATTTGAGATTATGGGTTGCCATGTATGTCTGGCTGGCCTGGAACTCAATTTGTAGACCAGGCTGGCCTCATACTTAAAGAGCTCCATCTGTTTCTGCCAAAGTTTTGGATTTAAGTGAGAAAGTAAACATACTTTAAAACATTGCCTAAATAGTAAAGACTGTATAAGGAAGAAGATTGCTTCTGTCCACTCTGGCCAGCTTTAATAGTTTTGTTATGGATTGAAAATCAAAAACAACCCAAGCAGGCACAAGAGTCCAGCAAAGCTAGTGCTTTATTTTAATTAGGCAGCAAAAACTGACCAGTCAGGGACAACAGCACAGACTTGAGCTGCTTCTTGAATGTTCATTTTAGTATTTAAGCAGATGACAAAATTTTATTATATGGAGGCTATTATATGGATGGCAAACATTTATTATATGATCGACCAGGGATTCAGAACAGACTCTGTGACCCTGAGGTAGACTATCACAGAGTTTTTAATCCTGAAATCCACAAACATTCGTGCCAAGTTACAGTTAGATTTTCTCACCAATCAGCATTTAGGAACAGGAGACTTCCTTAGGAACATGTCTTTGTGGTATGCTTATTCTCTTCCCCTTGGTTGGGTTATTTAGCTGTTGCGGGGTAACTTACCTAGCATTCATATACTTTCTGCCAAGCAGGATGTCAGTTACCCAGGGAAGTTTTGGGAACTCTAACATTATGTGACCCCTGTTCAAAATGGAAGTTTTATTCAAAATGGCTTCAGTTTGGTTCCTTTTTACAGTTTGGTATGTTTTTCTGTACATCAGGAAAATAAAAATTTGAGGATTTTTTATAAAAATTAGATTATAATTTTTCGAGAGCGTTATTCCTAATAATACGAATGGGCCTTCAAGTCATTACATAAACTATATATGCATAATATTTTACAACATTCTGTGACCTATTGATAACCTTTAAAAGAACTACAGAGTATGTTTTAATACGACAAAAAGTTTCCATTGCTGTGTGACTTGTTCTAAGGCTGTATTTCAGCCTAATGTGGTGGTGCACACCTTTAATCGCAGCACTTAGGAGGCTGAGGCAGGTGGATCTCTTGAGTTGGGAGGCCACCTTGGTCTACATATTGAATTCCAGGCCAGCCAGGGCTTTGTAGAGAGACAGTGAAGGATGGGTTCTAGCCAGCTGATACATGGCAAACACGGCCCAAACCTGGCAAACATGGTGCCAACAGGTTTTGCCTTTTCCCCTCTTTCCCTTTCCAAAAACTGTTAAGCTACATTCCTAAAGCTAGCCCCCATGGTCTATTTCCTTATTTGGGCACTGACTCATTCCTGAGACAAAACACCAAAGTCCAACAACCAAAATTTATTATTTGGCTAATATGTCCAGTCAGATCTTACCAACTCCCTCTAGCATAGAGTGCCTCTTTTTCTCCTTAAAATCCCACTCCTGCAAAAAAAGAACTCCTGTTCCCTCACCCCTACCTTTGACTTAGCCTCCTCCCCTGCTTGACCCTCCAGAGTAAGGAATCTTCTTTGTGCTGAAAACTTGGTGTCTAGGTACCCTGTGCTGACTTCTGCTTAGCCTCTCTACAAAAATCAAAACCGAGGCTATGTCTTTAAAAATTTATTTAAAGCATAACTTATACTCTGGAAAAGTTTGCAAATATCTTGTTGAATTTTTCCACCAAGTTGACATGAGTATCTATGCCAAGAAATAGATCAGTGTCCAGAGCCTTGAGCTCTGCTGTGGCCTTTTACCACCGCAGTTCTCTCTTCTAGTTTTGCCTTTTTTCTGAGGCAGGGTCTCATGTAGCCCATGATGGTCCCAGACTCACTCTGCTGCCAAGGGGGACCTTGAATTCATCTGGCCTCCTCTGGATGCAGTAATGGTGCTGTGTGTTTGAATCTTACCTTTATGTCTTTCTGAGAATGATGACATGTGTGTGAAAGTTAGAATCTTCCAAGCAGTGACAGGACCATCAATAGGCTAGTCAAGTGTGCAGAATTGCTTTTAGGGAAGGGCCTGGAGCAAAGACTTAGTGACCGTCACTGCTGAATGACAAGGGTGAATTGAGTGTTCTAAATGACATTGTAGGGCAGCTGGGAGTGAGACAGCAACACTTTAGGAAATAGAAGAGCATCAGAAGTTCAGAGGCAGAGCTGGAGTGATGAGGACTGTAGTCAGTTTCCTGCACCCATCTCAGATGGCTGAAACCCTTCAGTATACAGTCCAGGGAATATGATGCCATCTTCTGGCCTTTTTCAGGCAACCACATACACGTGGCATTTTTGTATACAGAACATACAAATGAAAAGTTAAAGCCAGGGGCTCCTTTGCTTCATCATCTGCTTGTTTGTTTTTTAAAAGGGGGATCTCGGTAGGAAGCAGCATTGACAAGTTTAAGGGAATGGTGAGCAGAGCCCTGTCTAGGGAAGTCTGTAGAAGGAGCAGTATTCCAGTGGCTAGTCATAGTCCCATTCAATAATGAATGGCCGAGGAAAGCTGTATGGTGAGTGCTTGTGTTGAGTATGTAGAGTTGGGTGATGTTCTCTAGAGCACAGTGGAGGCCATTAGGTCACTTACACCTCCCACTTTGACTTGGTATGACATTTTCACGCTCTATAGTTAGATGAGTCAGTATTTCATGTGGCTCTGTCTATTCCTGTGCATTCTTTTGGTTCTGATTTTCTTGAGAACTTTGACCAATACAGTATTAAAAGGAAAGAAATCTGGCAGGGTGTGGTGGCATAAACAGAGAACTGAGGAAGCAGAGGCAGGATCAGAAATCGAAATAGAAGGTCACAGGCACGGTGGCTCATGCCTGTAAGCCTAGCACTCAGGAGGCTGAGGCAGAAGGATGACAAGAGTATGAGGCCACCCTGGCATGCGTAATAATGTCCTGTCGACAAATAAAAACAAAATAACAGCACCCTACCACTCTCTTTCTTTTTTTCTTTCTTTCTTTCTTTCTCTCTCTCTCTCTTTCTCTCTCTTTCTTTCTTTCTTTCTCTCTTTCTTTCTCTTTCTCTCTCTTTCTTTCTCTCTCTTTCTTTCTTTCTTTCTTTCTCTCTTTCTCTCTCTTTCTTTCTCTCTTTCTTTCTCTCTCTTTCTCTCTTTCTTTCTGTTTCTGTCTCTCTTTCTCTCTTTCTCTCTCTCTCTCTTTCTCTCTTTCTTTCTGTCTCTTTCTTTCTCTCTTTCTTTCTCTTTCTCTCTCTTTCTTTCTTTCTCTTTCTCTCTTTCTTTCTTTCTGTCTCTTTCTTTCTCTCTCTTTCTCTTTCTTTCTTTCTTTCTTTCTTTCTTTCTTTCTTTCTCTCTCTCTCTCTCTTTCCCTCCCTTCCTTCCTTCCTTCCTTCCTTCCTTCCTTCCTTCCTTCCTTCCTTCCTTCCTTCCTTTCTTTCTTTCTTTCTTTCTTTCTTTCTTTCTTTCTTTCTTTCTT